AACATAACAGAAAGAAACTCATAGATATAGAGAACAAACTGATGGTTGCCTCCTGGGGGAGGCACTATGGAGCTGGTTAGAAAAAGTGAAGGGATTAAGAAGTACACATTGGCAGTTACAAATTATTTGTGGAAAGTACAGTATTGGAAATAGTCAAAAGTACTGTAATAACTATGCATGGTGTTGGGGGGGATACTAGACTTACCAGCAGGATCACTTCATAAATATATACATTATATAAATATCTAACCACTATGCTGTATATCTGAAGCTAATATAATATTAAATGTCACCTGTAATTAAAAAAATAAAAATAATGTCAAATACATAGGTAATTTTATCAAAATGTAAATGACCTTAATGATGCAGTTAAAAGTTACAGCTGACCACAGAAAAACCCAATTATATGATACTTAGAAAAGACATAACCAGAACATAAACATATAAAAAGGCCCATAGAAAAAGGAAAAAAATACACCATACAAATATCAAGCAAAGGATAAAACTTCCTGAGGTATACATCTAATAATTTAGCCTTAAAGTACATAAAGAAAAACTAACTGAACCATCAGAGGAAACACAAATCCTTTTGGTTTTATCTACTGGGAAATGTTCACCGACCTCTTTCTGGAACTGATTTTAAAAAATCAGTATAATTATAAACAGTTTAAACAACATAATTAATAAACCTGACCTAAAAGGAGTATGTAGACTATATTCAGCAATTGCAGAATACTTTTTTAATTTTCAAGCAAACAGAACCTTACAAAACATGACCATATGCTGGACTATAAACACAGTCAATGTATTTAAAGGAATGAATTCTGAATAAAGAATATATTCCCTGACCACAATGCAATTAAACTAAAAGTGAAAAAGAAGGATTTAACACAAGAAGACACATTAACAAAATAGGAAATAAATAATAATAGCAACTGACCAAGAAACACAGAAAACAAGTAACCAATATCACAAATGAAATGACTATCACCCATACAGACATATATAAAGAAGAATATTATGAAGCACTTTATGCCAATACATATGAAAATTTAGGTCAAATGAACAAATTCTTAGAAAAAGGTAATCTATTAACAATGACTCAGGAAGACACAGAAAATGTGACCAATCCCATAAATAATCAAGAGTATACGTCATTGGCTCAAACTCTAAGCCCGTACTGGTTCATTAATACATTTTACCAAATTCCCAAGGAAGAAATAATTCCCATAATGAATTCCAATAATCCAATGTATCCAAGAAGAATATAAAAACATTCTCAAACAATTTTATGAAACTAGAATCATATTGATACGGAAACCTACGGAGATACTAAAAAGAAAAATTTGAAGTTCAATTTCACTCACGATCAGAAATACAAAATGAATGAATGGATGTGTGTCACACACATATAAGACAAATAAATTATGCAAAGTATAAAAAGCATGCTTTGTTATGATAGTAACACCACCATGTAAATTTAGCTTAAAATAGAAAATCAATTAAAAGATAGTATTATTCGTATTATCAGATTATACGTTAAAAGAATAATCAAAAACAGAAAAAGCATTTTGATAAAACATAACAATCATTCATGATAAAATCTGTTAGCAAAGTAGAAATAGAACTTCCTTACAGTGATCAAGAGTTACAAAAGAAAGACATACAGAGGAATTAACATAGTGGGCCTGAGACTGTAATCTTTAAAAGGTTTTGCTTACAAGGCTGACCCTTGGCTGGGGTCTGGGAATTTGACCAACTGGTAAATGGTTCCCTACACTGACATAAAACTTTTCCAAATGATGAAAGCTGTTCACTATGCCTAAATTGTTTGTGTAAATGACATGGTTTTATTTGCTTTCCTTCTGGGAGCCTGGGATTTGGCACATGATAGGCAGAGGGTGCTCCTGCAACCAGCCCCCAATAAAAGCCTTGGGTAGTGAGTCGCTAATGGGTTTCCCTGGTACATGATACTTCAAGTGTTATCACAACTTGTTGTCAGAGGAATTAACTGTGCACTGTGTGACTCCAATGGTAGAGAACTCTTGGAAGCTTGTGGCTGAATTCCTCTAGACTTAATCCCAAATGCTTTTTCATTTTGCTAATTTTATACTCTGTACCCTTTCAATGTAATAAATTACTGCCATGAGTATAACTGTATGTCGGGTCCTGTGAATCTTTCTAGCAAAGTCCTTCTATCAAGCCTAGAGGTGGACTTGAGACTTGCAACATAAATACCTACTGTATCATCACTAGTATTTGACATTGAATTGGAAGTCCTAGCTATTCTGATAAGGTGCAAAAGAAAGAGAGATTAAAAGATTAAGGATAGAAATATATTGTGATGAATTATTGATAGAGAAAACCTTAAGAATCTATAGATAAGGTACTGGAATAGATTTTAGTATGACTCCTCACTAAAAAAGTACAAGACAACTGTTGGGAAAATTAGAGAGGTATTAAAGAAGTCACAAATAAGTGCAGAGATACAACACAGTGAAGGAATCAAAGATACAATGCTATAAAGAAGTCTAATCACCCAAGTTTTTCTATAAAGTAAATGTAACCCCAATCAAAATTCCCATGTTGGGGGAGGGACGCCTGTAGAATCAATAGGCTGATTCTTCCTATTTGCATGGAATTATGAAGAATATACCTATACTCTAGAAAATGAACAAAGTAGGAGAACTTACTCTATCAAAAATAAAGTTTCAGAGGAAAAAAAAGCCCTACAATAATTGGAATAGTATTAGTGTGGATAGGCAAGTGGAATAGACAGGCCAGAAACTGACCCATGCAAGTATGGATATTTGATGTATGACAAAGATGGTCCTGCAGAGCAGTAGTGAAAAGATGAACTCTTCAGTAAGTCGTAAGTAGGAAAAGTGGATTATCCATATGGAAAATTACATGGAACCTCCACTTCATTTCACATGCTACACAAATATCAACTCCAGGTAATTACAGATATAAATGGTGAGATGCAACACTAAAAGCTTTTAGAAAATAATTACGGGAAAATAAATGTATAACTTCAAGGTAGGGAAAAATTTCTTCATAAACACAAAAGACTAAATATAAACAAAACAAAGGATAAATCTGACTACATTAAAATTAGGAACATCTGTTACCAAAAGACACTATGGGGGGGACCAAAGAAGGGAAGAATATATTTTTAACACATATAACCATCAACTAGCATCCAAGAAATACATCGAATTCCTACAAACCAGTAAGAAAAAGAAAGCTGACCAATGAAAAGATGAGCAAAAGACTTGAACAGGCATTCCACAAAAGAGAAAATCCAAATGGCAGATAAAATATTTGAAAGGTGCTTAATCTCATTAGGAATCAAGAGATCTGCAAGTTAAAAACTATAATAAAATTACATAGCCATCAAACTGACAAAAATGTTTAAACTTTGACCAATTTAAAATTAAGTATTGGACAGGATGTGACAATAGGTACATTTGCACACTACTGGGAGCTGGTAGAACTGCTCTGGAAAATGTTTTGGTAATATCTACTCAAACTGAAGATATGTACACCCCACAAGAAAGCAATTCCACTCCCAGGTACAAACCCCAGAAAAACATGCACACATGCAAACAATAATTCACAAGCAAATTGTTCATAATAGCATTGTTTCTAAGTCTTTTTTGTTATTACAGAAAACCCAAAGTCCACCAAGAAAAGAATGGATAAATTATGGTACAGTCCTAAACTACAAAACTATTCAGAAATAAGAATGGATCAGGAAAGGGCTCAAGAGGGTGGCAGGAAACTACTGAGAAGCTGGGGAGTGTTCTAATTTTAGACATCAGTGTAATTACATGGATGTCAACTTTTTTAAAGCGCATGCCATACTTCACAATAAAAAGAAAACAATTAAAAAGTAATTTATCTTTTAGGTAGAATTTTAATATGCATAATTAAGCTTGAGGAAAAAAGTTGACACATGATCTTTCAGATATGTATAATGTCATGTCTGTACCAATAACACCAATAAATGGTGTTTAAAAGGTATTAAAATTCTGCAACTTCAATATTAACATAGTCTCTAAAAATTAACATAATTCCATGACATGATTTAATAACAATATTAAAGAATTTCTGGAACAACAGCAGTTGCAAAATATTTCAAATATGTAAGCTTTAACTTTTAAACATTATTCAAGGAATGAAAAAGGGATAAAAGGGTATGAAAATTGAGTGCGCTGAAACAGCAAGTCCTGTTAGCTCTTCCTTGAAATCCAGAATCTAATTATTTCCTAATAGTCTAACAATTATCTAAGCCACCGTCATCTCTCATCTCAACCACAGCAACTGCCTTCTAACTGGTCTCCCTCTTCCAATCTTCCACTCTTGCCAGCTAAAGTCCATTTTCCAGACAGCAACAGGAGTGACTTTTCAAAAAGCACACACTCTCAAAACCCTTCCAGGGCTTCCCGTTTCATTTAGAATAAATAAGAAGCAGGGTTCAACATCTCCTCAATTACAGTTCAGTCACCTTACTCCTGTTTTAATTCTTCAGACATACCAAGCTTGTTCCTGACTCAGTCGTTACTTTTGCTTTTGTCCCTACCTGGTAATAGTTTTCTTCCAAATGTTCGCATAACTGCTTCTTTCTTGTCATTCAGATTGCTGCTTGAATGTCATCCCTCAAAGAAGCTTTTCCTGACCACTCCATCAGAAGTAGTACCCTCACAACCTCATCCCAACAGCAGCACTCTCATTTTCTTTAATCTCCGATGCCTTCTTTATTTTCCATATGCATTTAATTCTATCTGAAATTACATTTGTTGTTCTATTCAGCTCCCATCTTTCCACTCTGACATAAGCTCTTTGAGTGGAAGGACTTTGTTTTGGTCAGTGCTGTATCCCTAATAACTGAAATACATCCAGACTACGGTAGTCACTTAACACATTTGTAAGCAAAAAAATGAGATCTGATTAATTAAAAGGTATTCTAAGTGGAAAGGATTAGAAGAAATACATACATGTTTATTGCTTAATGGTCTTTTCAATAAACCATCTCTGGAAATATGGTCTGCTGTTCTTGCCACATCTTCCAAAAATCGATAATCTAAAAGTTTCAAAATAGAAAAATAAACAACATATGCCAATAGCCAGGAAGCATCAATCTGATATGCTTAAGATGGCTTACCACTTAGTAGATTCATTTCAGTAAATTGTTGTATAGAAACATATGCAGTTTTATCTCGAACTCCATTACATGTTAGTTCTACTTTGTGTTTCTTTACACAGGGCAAGCTGAAGAGACAAAGAGAAGGTACTTTTATACTTAAAGGTAACAATGGTACAGATAGAGGTAATAAGGTAGAAAATTATACACATACCTGCAGGAATAGCGCATACAGCGTGGACATCTGTACTTGGCTTCTTCTGTACCACAAGTTTCACACCTACAAAAGCCCATATGAAACTTAATAATTACTAATTCTACACATTTGTTTATAAAATTTTAATCTGAGTTGATTACTCATCACAACCAACTTGCAGACAAAGTTATAGTGAATAATGTATATGCAAGTGTCTGTGATAAAAAACTTGATAGTTATCAAACATTGTTAGAAATTACTCCTCTAGGAAACTGTCTCCAAACAACATTTTCAATGTTGTTAGTGATATTTAATTGAAGAAAACATGTATTCGATTTTTTAAAAAATCATCTTGCTTTTCACTTCTTTTTCTACTATAATCAGAGAATAAGATTATTAAGTAACATTTTAAGTTGTAATTCCTGGCAATCTCTTAATGCTTTTGTGAGAACTTCAATCCATAAGCTATGTTTCAATATCTTACAGGCACATCCACCAGTAAAATATCAGATCCAGTCAAATTTACAGAGTAGTAGCTGCATCTTTTTTCCTCAACTAAACACCCAACCTAGAATACGCATCAGACTAATCTAGGAATGCTATTACCCACTATCTTCAGTCTTCAGTCTTCAACTGCTCTTCTAGATCTCTGGATACTACAAGCAAACTACAGCTACTTCTATTTCTCGTATTGTGTTCTGGACAGTATAAGTTCCAAGAATCTGATCACTGTTTAATTTCCTATGCTGTCACATGATCACCACTGTTGAAAAATTAAATAAAAGTAATATTAATAGTACCCATAGAAAACTAAACATTTGGTTGAGTTTAAGTGCATTTTAGTCTAATTTTAACTTAATCCACTCTGTCATTGTTGGTTTTATCAGATGTTTCCTCATCTTTATCCTCTCACACACAAAGACAAAGTCAAGAGACTAAGTCAAGCCCAAATCTAAGTCAAGCCATTTCCTGGTCCTAGAATTTTCATCTCCTGACTTGCTCACTGGACACTACCAACATATTTTGACTGAATTTGTTGTTACCTGACAAAACCCTCTATTCCTGATTCCCCACTCTCCACCGCCCACCCTTAGGCTCCAGAGACCCAAACTCGTGCTTAATTTTCTACATCTTGCTGGTAGTGTAGTTTCCTTCAAACTAGACCAGAGTATCCCGCAGCTTTATTCCCCGCAATGGAGTTCTCCCTGCCTTACCTTGACATAGCCAGTTTCCGCTTCGAGCCCACAGGGGAATTTATCTGAGGCTCTTCTTTCACCTTTGTATCATCCAACATTTCTTCCTTCGCGAAATACTTTTCTTCTTTAACACACGTTTCTTCCATCATTTCCTCTTTTACGTTCTGACCAAAAAACATCTCTTGTTTTATCTCCAAGTTATCTTTTCTCTCCTCCTTTTCTTCTGGCCAGTCCATTACCTCTTCCTTCACCTTCACTTTCTCTTCCTTTACCTCTGGCTCATCCACTTTCTCTTCTTTTACCACCAAACTACTATCCACCTCCTGCTTCACCTCCAGCATGTCTGGTTTCTCCTCCTTCACCTCAGGCTCATCCTTCACCTCCTGCTTTACCCACTGGCCACCCAACATACCTTCTTCCATTTCCGACCAGTCCGTTACTTCATGCTTCACAACTGTTATATCCACTCGCATTTTCTCTGCCCTTTGTCCACTTTCTTCTCTATCCCCTATCTTCTCCATTCCCGTCAGTCCATTCCCCGCCTCTCCACTGCCGGCCTCCTCTGTTTCTGCTTTGCCCCTGACTCCCTCCCGACGGGACTCGAGCCCCAGCCGCGCCCCCTCAGCTCCTCGCTGGAGACCACCTCCCGACGTCGCTTCATTTTCAGCATCAAAATCCATCAGCTTACGAACCTTGGCCTCCGCTGATACTCCACTCTTCAATGTAGCTGGTCCAGGCAAACAAATACGAATTGCAGGCGGAAGACGGAGAGCAACCCACGTGCAGAAAGTAACAGGCCGTGAACGCCGACCTGGTGTGTTCCTCCAAGCCGTCGTAAAGCAACGCTTCCACGCCCCGCTACTTCACGACGCTTAGAGCTCTTTACGGCTCTAGAGCTCTTCGCCCCAGAATCTCCAAGAGAATTGGCGTGAGGCCACGCCCACCTTGATCCCGCCTTCGAGGCGGAGTTTTGCCATACCATTTCCAGGGTGCGAGCCGCTCCTTCGTCTGCGAGCTGCTCCACGCTCTGCGCGAGACCACCGCTCTACTAAAGTGAAGAGACTGGCGGACTCGGGCGAGGAGAGAATTAACCTATTGTCTCGGCCTGGGGAGACCCACCCTGATTTGTATTAAAGATTAAATCTAATCTTGTATGAAAATGAAATACCTTGTTACGCCTCTCCAAGCTTCAGTTTCTTCACCTATGCACTAGAGACGACAGTGTTACAAACCTCTTAGTGTTTTCTGAAGACGAAATGGAATCGAGCATGGAAATAAGCTAACAGAGACTAAAACAAACTCAATATGTGATGGTTATTATAAGTGGGAATCCCGATGGGTTTCTGGCAGAACACAAGGCGTTAACTTTCACTCTTTAAATTCTTTGTCAGTAAGAGCCGGCATCAGCCAGTTTCCTATCCTCAGCATCTACAGGAGTGTAAGAGAATATATACACATGTAATTGTGTGTGTATATATGTGTGTATATGTATATGTGTGCATGCATGTGTGTGTGTGTGTGTATGTATAGGAATATATATATTCCTATTTAAAGACTGGGTTGAAAATTCAATCCTCAAGACTAGAAGATCTAAACAACGTACTGGGCATTAGACACTCTCACCTAATCTTCACATCATGTCCATGAGATGATTTTTCTCGTTTCATAAGGAGACTCCAAAGAAATGACTTCTTAGTTGTAGGCTGCTCGGTGCTACCACCCCTTCAAATCCTGTTATAGTTTGCAGAGCATTTAGCTACTTTCATTCAGTCAACCCATTGCTCAGGGAATGTGAAGTGTGAGTGACCCAGAGAAGGGAATTTTGAGTTGTTGGAGTTTAGAGCCAGGATATTACCTGAGAGAAAAGAGACAGGGCAGGGACAGAGAAAGGGAGGCAAAAGTTCCACAGGGCTGTCAGTCCAGTACTCCAAACATTTTCCTTCTCTTTTCCACTTTAATGGACAAGAGGTATAAGCCCAGCTCCTTCAGTATAAGATTGAACATTCTTGCTGTACCCTATCATCTCTGTCTCCCATACTTGCACTGGGCATCATGGGACAGCTCTCCTAACCAGTGAGGGAACTGGTCCTTTGCCAAAATAATAGAATTCAGTTTAATACCTAGAAACCTGGGATTGTTTTCTAGAAAGGCATTTAGCTGAGACTGTGTAACACTATGAGAAAGTGTATATTAGGGATGGTTAAAACCCTTTTGGTGGCTCCGCAGCCACTGTGTATAATCAGTTGTTTGGTTGACTACATAGTGAAGATTAGAAGGGCATTTTCCTGACCCCTCCATAGACAGTCAAGAAAACAAAGACCCAGAGAAATAAAATGGTTTGCTCAATATTACATGACTATTAATGGCAGTACTGAAACAGCAATTCAATGTTCTAGTCAAAGCCGTTTGTTTGCGCTTGAGGCAGTTAAGGATGAAGGCCAAGAAGTAGAAGGCAGCTGTGACCACACAAGAGGCAGGAAACATGAACCAGAACTCAGAAAGCATGGAAGTCTGAATTTTATTTTGTACGGGTATGTGTAGGGATGTGTTCACGTTGGGCTATTCAGAAACAGGGGCTGATAGGAGTTATTAGGAATCAATATCTGTGAAGGGAAGGAGGAGGAAGCATGATTGGCCAGAGAGAATTTAAATTGTGATGCAGATTTGATAACGCCTTGGCCAACCTGATGTTTAGCTTTGGAGAAAGCATTTTCCTTTAGAGTGTCCCACACCAGGCAGAACTGCCTGTTACTTTATATCTGGCCTCACTCAGTCACCTGTTCCAGGCTGCCCCAGAGGGCATGATCTTGGGAAAGAGGCCTCTCTGCAGCTAGAGCAGACAGCTGGAGGCTGCGGACTACACTCCTTGTGGCTGGGTAGCAAGTCTTTGAAGGAGGATCTGGGTGGCATATCTCCGTGGCTACCACAGTGTGAATATGTGTCTCTGGCCAAATGGCCTCCTCTCACTGAATCAGTTTCATTCTTCTTTCTTTAAGGCCAGTTGTCTCTCTTTTCATTAACTTCTTCACGTGTCAAAAATATATGCCACTCCACAACTCATAGGTGTATATATTCTTAGTACAAATAGTCACGGAGACACACTGTTGTCTAATTCCAAATATCTGAGGAAAATAATTTGATTGGATTATAAAGTAAGGGAGATAAGATCAGTTGGTAGAAATATGGTTGTAGAGTTGTTGGAGAAGTTTGGGCAGTGTTCTCTTTAATGAGAAAAACACCGGGTTTAAATCTCCTTTGCCACTAGCTATGTGACCACACTGAGTCTCAGTTAATTTCTTCCATCTGTAAAATAGAGATAGTTATACCTATTTCACAGGACTGTTTTGAGAATTAAATGAGAAAATGTATGTGAAAGAGCTTTGTAAATAGAAGCATTCTATGGATGTATTATTTTCCTCATACTAACAGTAATTTTGAAAATCCTGCTGGTAATACCTTAATGTTTTCTTTTTCAGATTGTAGAGGACAAAGTTGACATAATCTTGTTCCTTGGTTCTTGGCTCCCTTTCATCATGTGCAATACCCTCTCCTTAATATCTTTGCCATTTGTATATTTTTGCCTAGGCCGAGGTCCAAAAGATTTTCTTTCATATTTTATAGAAGTTTTATACTTGGAGCTCTTACATTTAGGTCTATGATCCATTTGACTTCGTTTTACATCATACAAAGTAATGGTTTGAGTTCTTCTTTGTATATGGATATTTTATTGTCCAAGGGCCATTTGTTGTAAAGACTATTCTTTCTCCTTGAATTGCCTTAACATTTTGTCAAAAATCAAGTGTCCACAAATATAAAGACTTATTTCTGGACTTTCTATTCTTTTTTTTTTCTTGGACTTTCTATTCTGTTCCATTGATCTTACATGTCTGTCTTTGCACCATTACCACACTCTCTTGATTACTGTAACTTGATAGTAAGTTTTAAAACTGGGTAACTAAGTCCTCCTGCTTTGCTCTTCTTTTTCAAAATTGAGTTGGCTCTTCCAGATACTTTATCCATGCAAACTTTAGGATCAGTTCATCAGTTTCTACAAAACAGCTTGCTAGGTTTTGACAGGAATTGTGTGGAACATATAGGTCAATTGGGAGAGAACTGGCATGTTAACAGCAGTGTCTTATAACCCATTAAAATGGAATATCATTTATCTATTTAGATTGTCTTTAATATAACTTAAAAATGCTTTGTAGTTTTCTATATACAAGTTTTTGCATGTGTTTTGCTAACCGTATACCTAAGTATTTTATTCTTGTTGATGTGATTTTGAAAGGAATTATTTGCTTTCCTTTTGGGGTTTTTAATTGCTAGCATATAAAAATACAATTGATATTTGTATCCTGCAGCCTCACTAAATCTATTTATTTTATTATATAGTTAGATTCAATTACCTAATATTTTGTTTAGGAGTTTCCATGTATGTTTATGAGGATATTTGTCTATAGCTTTCTTTTCTTGTAATGTTGTTAGTTTTTGTTACAAGGATATTCTGCACGTATTTTAACTATATTTTTCACATTTCTAACTAATTTCTGCCTTGCTAGCAAATCTATCAAATATCTAATATCAAATATGTTATTTCATGATATCCTATCTGTTAGTCAACCCATCAGCTAAATTCATTTCAACTGATATATTTTTTGTAACCATTATCTTCAACTTATTATTGCTTCATAATATTCTCTTCTATCTCTTTGGCGACGTTTCTTTTACTCATTTAAAATTTATCACTTTTCTGTTCATTAATTCTGCTCTTCTACTACAAATTATCCAGTGTTCTAAAAAATTTCTTTTATGGAATTTCACTCCTCAGATGCTGTCATATTTTTCCCTGCGGTCTCATGTTTCCTTGGGAAGAAAAGCAACTTCAGCTATAATTCATACTTGAAAAGGGAACAACAAAAGCCTAAGTGATTTTTTTTTTTGAGGGGATGGAGCGGGTAAGGAGGAGAGTGGATGAGCCTTCGGGTAGAAAGCCCTTAGTGTTACAGTCCAGGCTCCACGTAGCCAATCTGCCCTTCAGTGAGGAGAACATGCCCGTCGGGTTACTCCTGCCATTTGTGATTCCTTTTTCCAAGAGCTCCTGTGTTCTGTGGTATCACCTAGACCCCAGGATGGAAGAAAGAGAAGAAAAGAACGGTTCTTGGCCAACCTGTATTTATAGTTATGAGCTTTATTGATGTTACTCTTCCTTTTTGAGCAGGTACTGGGCTGGCCCTGCTGTTTCTATGCCCATTTTGTGTTGCATGGGCTATGATCCATCCAAGGTAGTGTGGGTAGAAGAGGGCACGATTAGATATGTTTTATCTCTCCATTCTACCCCTTACCTCCAGTGGTGTCCATCTATGACTCCAGGCTTTTCTTTCCCCATCACAATGGGTCCTAACTCCTTTTTATTTCCTAGGAGTTTCTCAGAGTGTCTGAGTTAAGCTCCAAGCTCCATCACCTCCTTCTCACTTATGTAACAGCTTCAGGAGAAGACTTGGGGACTCGAGGAGGCAAGCGTTGTTCGTTTGCTGTCTTCCCATAAATGAGATTCTCCATATGAGCTTTTAGAAAATAGTAATAGTGGTACATTTTTGAAATTACTTAAAGGGTGATTCCAGTATCCTCCCTCCTGGTCTTGCCATGATACTGCTCATATATTCCCGGGATGCAAGAGGTTTCATTATATTCACAATTTTGAGTCAATGCAATAATTCCCATATGCTTGTCCATGGACAGTTATATCAGGATCACTTGGTGTACCTGATCAAAAACAGATTTATGGGCTTCTTCTAGAGATATTTAACCAAAATGGAGGGCGGTGCTAGAAAAATT